TTTAAATTTTCTTTCTGTGGGGAGTATTTAACTTCCTCGATAATGTGATGAAATGGATCACAAGAAAACTCCATGAAATTCAAAACAACTGTTTTCTTTGTAAAAAAATAACCATCAGTGCAGGTGATGCCCTAAATTGATGAAGGTAGTTGTGAATCTAATTCCAACATGTACGAATGTTTTGTAGCAAGGTTTTGCAAAAGCCCCAAATGAACCGAAAACCTCCACACAATAATGTTCTACAACCTAAGTCTTCACGGAAGGGCACCATTAAAAACAATCTTATATATATATATATATATATACCATGCTTGATGCCGTAACGGAGGATTGATATGAATTTTGCACTATGTTTCCTAACTCGAAGAAGAATGCAGGCAGAAAAGTCAATATTTGAAGAGTTCATGGGATCCTGTTCTGAATTCTTCATAAGAACTCTTCACAAGAACGCAGAGAGAGAGAGGAGTTGGTCAATTTCATGCACTTATCATCATCGGAAAGTAAAGATCTGACGGTGCTTGGTAGGCTTGGAGCAGGGTGGCAATGGTGCGTGGCAAGCCTTCGAAGCAGAGAGAGAACGGTCAGGACCCAGTAAAGTTACAAAGAGAGGAAGAGAACCGAGAGAGCGAGAGATCAAGGCGACAGACAGAACAGGAGGAGGGACCAGGACCAGGGCAGGGGACGCGGCGGTATGGAATCCAGGGGGAGAGGGGGCGAAGCCAGGAAGGCGGGCCGCGGAACTGCAGGCGACGGACGGGGGGTGGCGACGCCTCGACGGTTTTGATAGTTTCGACAAAATAGTTTTCCAGTTTCCGGTTTGTCCTTTGATTCATCGTGCTCCCAAAATATCCATGGATGCGTGAGGTTCTCCATGTTCTGCTCCCAGTTTCCGGGGCATCCTTAATTTGCTGCCTGCCTGCTGTGTCGTCACTGCTCCCACCATCCCTCACGCCCTGCGTTCCATTGCACAGGCTCACATCGGAGCACCGCTACCAGTATAGTATGCCAAGATGAGTTGTATTCTTCCTTTTTTTTTAAAAAAATTACTCCAACAGGTAGTGATTGTAAAAAGCGATATGGGTGATTTCGAGAACTGTTCTTCGGTCTTCTCTCTCGCAGAACTGGGATTTTCTACCTCGCTTCACGCAGCAGTCTGTCAAGAGCAGCGGGCAGGTAGTAACACTTCCATGCGTTAAAAATAAATTTCATTGAACCAGGCACGTCTCGGCCTTTCAAAGCGCTTCATCCGGTCATGCTGCTCACCATGTTGGTGCAGAAAATGTATACGCAGTGTGGTCAAGCCTGGGGCTTGCTTCCAGTGAGACCCAGCACCACCAGGTAACCCCCAGCTCGCACCTTCGAACCTACACCAACGCTGATATTGCGCGCAACTCTTGTACCTCGAGATACAGGATCGCTTGCCCCGTGGACGCTTAGATTCGGGGCTAAATCGGCCCGCCCTGACACACAGGATTACCCAATTTCTTCCCCATTTGTATATATCACTAAACGTAGTATTGGGAAGATCTGTGTATTATAAGACAACCAGAGGGTGAGTTTGGGTTGCAAGCGGCAACGCTTCTCATCCGTCCGTCGGAGCCCAATCTGACACCCGGTATGCCGTGGAGTCCCCGCTCTCATACCGTGAGATTGAAAATCTTTCGATCGGGTGCCACCACAATTCCCTCACTGTTCACTAGTAGACTCCCAAGGCACAAAAAATAGAATCCCCTCGCAACAACCAACTTGAGCCTTTCAAGGGGCTGCTGGTGCTGGTGCTGCTTGCTGCAGGCGCATTTGAGCCAGCAGACGTACAGTGTTCAATCTCACAGCTTTTGTGAATTGGGTGGGTGATCCGAGTTCCAGAGTTCCGAGCCCCTGTTGGAACTTCTGCGCTGCCGAGGCGCAGCACCAACCCACACACCGTGGGCCTCCTCGACTGCACTACTGCAGCACCATGGAAACTTTCCCTTGAAGGGGAAGTCAGTCCACTACGGAATGACTGGAGTCCTCCTCCCCCACATGGCTACGCTCTCTGTATCACCGTTGTAAGATCTGGCGGAGTGAGTGAGTGTAAGTGAGTGTGAGTGAGTAATTAAGTGAGCAAGTAAGCTGATAAGCTGATAAGTGCTGGAGCTGCTTCCGAGGCGGCGATCTGGAATGATAAGAGGAGCCCTCTTGGAAGGGAGTTGAGTGTGAGTGAGAGAGAGAGGACAAGAGCTTCAGCCCCACATGCTCTTGTGGGGCGAATAAAGGCACCACTTCCCTATGAGCCCCTCCTTATGATTGGCTTAGCTGACCCGCCCCCGCCACACACACACACCCCCCCCCCCTCTCTCTCTCGCTCTTTCGCTCACCCATACCTTCTTTTATTTATTTAAATGTTTCTCCCCATTGTTTCAGTCACTTTTCTATTATTATTATTATTATTATTATTGTTGTGCTTTTATTTATATATATATATATATATATATATATGTAGTGACGTATATGATTGTGAAAGTTTGGATTAGAATGTTAGTAGGTTGACTCTCTCTCGCTTCCCTACCAGTTTGGATGTTTCTCTGTTTGGATTCAAAAATTGGGTTATTGTGGAGAATTGGTACAATGAATTGTGGGTGGTAGGAGTAGATATGGTGCAAAAGACATGGTATGGTGAAGGTTTTTTTTTTAATAGTCTGTTGAAAATGAAGAAGAAGAAAAAGAAGGAAAGGAATACACTATTCATTGTTGGGGTTGTGCCAAAATGATTGTGCTCAAGTAAATTTGTGATAAGCTGCCCCAGTTTGTTTAGTTTTTGTGCGCACAGAAAATGCTTTCAGTGCAAAATATCAGAGTGCAAAATATCAGAGTTTCCTACGATATGGGTCAAAGCTGAAGCTAGTAAAGTGTAAGATTAACAAAATTGTTTTAACAATCAATTAATTGGAGAAAAAGTTAACAAAGAGATTTTAACAAACAACTTTGAGTTCAATTTAGAGAACTTATCAAAGTCAACTCATTTTCACCTCTAGCCACTTGTCAGATTCTTATTAATTTTTCTCTCAAATCTTAAGAAAAAAGAAAAAAAGAAAAAGAAATTAAAGTATGTCAAAGTTGAAGCAATTTAACGTCATCATTGTGTTTTTTGAATTATTTTTTTTAACAACATATAATTTGTAAGTATATTTATATTAGAATTCAAACACTAGAAAACACATACTACAACTTAAGGTATAATTATGTAATGTTTTTAGATTAATTCTTAAAGTATTTTTTTTGAAAAGATAAATGTGATGTAATATCCTTTTACAAGATATTTCTGACAAAATATTCTTAATAACAAAAGCTTGCATACTAAATGAACAGAAGGTTTGGACATGTAACTAAGAATAGACTAGGGAAAAGTGTTTCTAGTGTGCTTTTGGAAAAAATAATTTTTAGAAACTCATTTGTTTACTTTTCCTATTTTACTTCAATTTTTAAAAGATTAATACAGAATTTTATACAAAAATAAAAAATAGAATCAAAATTTAAAATTCAAAAGCTATACATGACTCCAAAAAACTAACTGTAACTTTGTAACAAATATTTTTATTAAAACAATTGTGAATGAAAATTATTTATAGCTTTTAGTCTTAATAATGAACTTCTTTTTTCCTTTTTCAAAATAACACTTTGCTTAAGATAATTCTTTATTTATTCAAAAAAAATAATTTATGAAAACATAAAAATTTCCAAACAATTTGGTTATACATAACTTGCAAGATCAAGAATTATAGTTCATCCAAGAATCAAGTGCAATATCTAAATAAAAGATGAAAGTTCCTAATTTAAAACTTGGTCAAACTAATACATTTTTTCTTACAATATATTACAAATATTTATTGTTATAAAAATTTGATATTTTTGTTCTTATTTTTTTATTCTTGTTCTTATATTGAATACAAATTTTGTTGAAAACGAGTTATTGAAGGTAAATTGGGTTCAATTGTCTCTGTGTGTATATATATATATATATATATATAAATACAATTAATATTTGCTCAAAAGACTTTGTAATAAGTCTGTGATTGTTATTGGACACCATAATCTCAAAGATGTTAGTTTTGTGAGTTGTGTAAAGGACAAGAAGTTTGATTTATTAACACACATTCAAAATTATACACCATTCATATAATTCTACAAAATATATGAATATTTTTAGACCTTTTTAAAAATAACCTTCATGTGTTTGTACCATTTCAAAGTTAGTGCTCTGCCCTATATTTATTCATTTTTTTTTTCAAAACATCTGTAAATGAAACTCCTTTCATAAGTCAAAATCCTGTAATTAGAATGTATGACCTTTTATATTTCTCTTACACTTCTAAATGAAAAATTATCATTTTTAAAAAAAAAACATTGAGCTTCAATTCAGTAATATAAGTGCAGTTTGCTTTTCAATACTTACATTGTTTAAACATAATTCTTACATACTAAAATAATGGTCATCACCACGCTCACAACTGTCAAATTTTACAAATTTGAATAGTATAATTTCTTATTTATGTACTGAGAGTTTGATCGCTTTGATGTAGTAAAGATGTAAAAATAGATAGCAATAGATTATTGTTAATTTTCTTTATGAATAGATAGGGTAGGTCTACAACCTTCTTGGGAATTAACTTTCAATTGTACCAATCTAAATTGAAGAAACATCTACAATGTAGATTTCCTTTATCTGTTCATTTATTTATTTATTTCATTTCTTAACGAATATCCAACGAGTTCCAAATACCTTTCAGTTTCTAATTTTATTCTCTCATCGCTCCATTTACCATACAGAAAAACTTTTAGCCATGACAAAAACCAATAACACAGTCAATTTGATTTGCAAGATATTTCACCTGTTTGTTTTGTAAATTAAACAATTATCATTAATAAAAACAGTCCACAGTAAAAAAATGAACTGGAAAATTAAACGATTCATCATACCCATAAATAATAAAACTCTTACATCATATTCTAATTCATCCAAATCAATGCAAAAACCAAGTTGTATTAAAATTTGTAATAAAAGAACAAAATATAAAACTAAGCCTCAAATTAAAGATGACTTTCTAGATGAAAACAACCTACTTGAAGCAAGCATTTCCACCGTTGATAAAATTATCATGCTGTGAAGACAACTTGCAACCATAATTACCACACTTTACCTCACAAATTGAATCAACATAAGATCTCTACAAGCGTACTCCAATTTTTCGATCCAGGAATAGGTAAATTATGATGGTTTCAGGTGACATACAGGATAACAAGATTTCAAACTGCAAGCACCACTGCCTTCAGAGCTTTGTTGAAGTTGGTTGCATCTCTGGGAGCAACTGAGGTCGATCGAATCCACGACATTACAAGCACGGGGCCAAGTTGTAAGATCGCAAGCTGGGTATGCATGACACATTCTTGGTGTACGGTAGTGAATGTGAAGCATTCAGCTTGCACTTATCCTGTTATCAAATTAACGAAGACCTGTATCTGCTGTCATCAATACGAGTGAAACATCATTTGATTCTGTGTCAAATGAAAACCATTCGATTGCATCCCATCTGATCTGTCCGTGTCAGCATAGACCAGTAAGTTGAAACTCTGGATTGGTAAAGGAATGGTCTTGGAGCCTCAATGCGATACTCTATAATGTACAAGCTCTGTCAAGCAAGACCTTCCCTGCGAGACAATGCAGCAACTAACTTCTGTAACGACTTGATCTCATCTGCTTTAGATTTTGATTCCTTGCGCACTTTGACGAGTTCTGATTTCAAAGCTTCTAGCTCTTGGAGATGAGAGCAGGAGCATACTTTGTGCCCGGGCCGTTCAGCTGCGTCCTTAGTTTCCCCTTCGGAAATCTCTCCTTCTTCTACCTCTTCATCCTCGTCGTTTAGTTGCTCCAAGAGCTGGTATTTGTTCGCCCAAGGTGTTTTTTTCGAGGAATCTGATCGCCCCAATATGGACGTGCTGTCAGTTTGTGGTACATTGATACCATCATGGTCCTCCAATTCAACCACTTTACTACACCTCGCATCCGCAGCAGTACCGGAGCTAATTTTCCGTCGTTTGGGTTCGTCATTATTCTCACCAACGACGTCGTCAACTGTTGGCCTCTTTGTGCAGGCTTTCATCACTTGAGATTCCTCGTTTTCCTGTCTAGGTGCGATCACTGACCTAGAGTTCACCATTTTGCGCACTTGAAATTCTGCCATTCTCATTTGATTTCCTGACGGGTACATCAAGCTCACTGTCTTTTGTGGGTACCCGGCTGAATCCTGTAAATACAAATGGAAATCATCGACGTGCATATTAGTCGGAGATTGCGACAAAGCTTAACACGTACAAGTGAACATTGAGATCAGTGATCAGAAGGAACAAGTGTTGGGATCCTAAACAACAGTTCAGAAGAATACCTTGCCCAACACTCCCTCCAGCTGCTCGAACGCACTGTCTGCTTCTTCAGCGCTATCAAAAACGGCTACAGTTGAGCCTGTTTTCCCTCTATTCTTGAACATGATATCCTATCATCGTAACATCATGATGTTAAAAACTTGCTTCAACTATCTGTGTCCTCTGTTTGTGAAGCATGTACCCAACAATCAAGCAACACAGTGCAGAAAGAACACTAACAAATATTAATCAGATTAGTAAGTCAAGGAAAGTACCTGAATTCGACAGGCTAGATCTTTTGGAAAGATAGACCTAAGCAAAGTTAAAGAGATCGAGCTAGGCAGCTTGTGCAAGAATAATTTGGATAAATCTCCTTGATTTACCTCCTGCCAGGGTTACAAATTGAAGTCAGTAATGCGCACTCGATGTCACCCAATTCATTTCTTTTCAGTAGGTACGAATTTCAAGCGCAATTACGACAATCAATCGGTTTTAAGAACGGGGAGTATATCATAGGTAATTCTAACATACATACCTTTCGCGGGAATTCAAGAGACAAAGTGCTGACAGCATGCTCGAGCCGATAATGAACCAATCGCATTGGAACAATGGAGTCGTCTAAGCAATCGTGAGGTTTGTCATCCTCCCTAAACTTGTACTTCAAGATAGACTGATGCCCAATAATTTTGTCAAATATCTATTCAGGGCCTCCCAACGGTACAAACGTAAAACAACGTATTATTGACACAGTCCTCATAAATTAAAAGTGAACCATATCTAAGTGTTATAATGAAGCAGGAAGGATCCTCTTACTTGGCAAAGATTGGAAAGGCTTGGAGAGTAAGAAGGCGGCCAACTAGGGTCTCGAAACAACAAAGATGTGTCGATCACCCGTTTATGGTCGATTTGCAAAGCTGCAACTCAAGCACAACAGCAGTTAAAGAGCATTGCGAAATGAAGGACACGCTTATGCTTAGAAGATTATAGGTAAAGCAACTTAGAGGCCCTATTGTTCAAGACATAGTGAAGCATAAGGAAGAACAATAGAAATGGGTATGAGCAGAAACAAGAGACGATACCTCTCAAATCATAGTGTAAGCTATGTCCAACAAGAATAGTGCCTGGAGTCAATAAATCCAACACCAGCTTCTGCCACACCAAATACAAAAAATTTAACAAAAGCAGAATGTAACGACAACCAAATACCTTCTTAAAACATTACATGTGCTAGTTCAAACTCTTGCGCAAACGACCACTGCAACTATTGCACTGCACAAACACTAAAAGGATAATACCTGAACGCCAGCCTGAGACAAGGTGACTCTTTGTAGATCCTTCTCTGAAACCCCAGTAATGCTTGTTAAGTAGTCAGTCACCTTCCCGTTGGGCACAACTAACTCGTCAACTAAAGTCTGCAGCAGCTCCAGATATCTCTAGAGTTAGAAACTCAGCATAAATTACAAGCCAGTTTCAAGCCACGTCACCTCGATCAAGTACTTGACGAAGTGCAGCAATGCTGCCAGATGCAAAACAGACATTGTTTTGGCTATTGAGGGGTCACAAGCAAAGATCTTATTGCTGAACAAACACCTAATGTATCGTGTAGAGAGACAGCAATGAGAAGCGAGACTAGTGGTAAAAGTTATCCAAAAGAATTAAACAATTACGCAAATAATATACATATAATTAAAATGATAACTGTGATCGTAAAAGTGGCCAGTATGTACTCACATTGTAATCACTACCAACAGCACATACGCGAACAAGTTCTTTGACATCACCTTCACAAGTGACCATCTCACAATCAAGTGACACCAGCTTCACAGGGCTGTCAGGGTCTCCTCTCTTCGAATGTTTCCACCCCTGCAAACATCATAATGTCAGAATCGGTTGGTAAACCCCTGGACATGAGCTTATGTACGGCCGCTCCAACACGAAAGATAGTCAAGCTACGAGAGCCTCTACTTCAATTCATGGTAAAAATAAGAAGGAAAATTTTAGAAATGAAAAAAACACATTGTCTGATACAATCGCAGTTTAAGGCACGGAAGGTAACACTGCAACGATTTCGCAACGGATCCAGAATTTGGTCATTATTAACAGCTTGAAAAGGTTAATAGAAGAGACCTCCATCCAAGATGGGAAGTTGTAGAAAGACCCAAAGCGTGGATGGGATTGAGTAGCGTCCACCAGCTCCTGCACTGCCATCACCACATTAACATACTTCAAACTTTGCTCGAGCACCGCACCGAACGGTATATTTGGACATAAACACTTATGACACAACTGCAAACTGGAATCTCACATTCCAAAAGCTATTCTGATGATCATCGGACCTGGTAATGAAAGTTGTACAAGGCAATGGAGGGTGTGAACCTGTTCCGGGGTCTTCGCAAATGGATGAGTCTCATTCAACAACTTTTGATTCGAACAATAAGTGGCCCAATTCCGCAACCTTTTCACCAGCTGCACTCCGATTTCAAGTTATTAAGGGAGCTGTTGAAATCCCAAACTCAAGCCCATAGTTGAACATCGTCTGAAATTTGCTAATTTCAAAGAAAAAGAAAGGAAATCTTCCAGGGCAAATGACAACAGAGTAAAAAATGTGACAATTGCGAAACTGGGTCTATGAATCAAAAGCGAGAGAGAGAATGACCTCAACATCTTCTTTTTTGGTGAAAGTCTGGACAAATGCAGCAAGCACGTCCACGGGATGCCTAGCAGGGTCACTATGAGTCCCACCCCTCTTCTTATTCACCATCGCCACAAACTCCTTCCAATCACCTTGCTTCCCCTTAATCTGCCTCCATTGCGCCCCCTTCACAATCTTCACCAAAAGCTGTTCCGTGCACATTACGAAAGATGCCACAACCAAGAGTTATAAAAATCAATTAAAATACAGAAAATTCCTCAACGACCCGAAATAAGAGAACTCTTCTCATCAGTGAGATACACTGAGCTCCAACACTTACCTTGAACACAAAACCCTAAACCTCAAACCTCCACCACAAGCCCCAACACTCAATCTCTCGCTCATTGCAGCAAAGAATCTGTTTCTTTACCTCGTGATCGGTTTCCTTGAATCCAGTCAAGTATATTTGCCGCTTCATGGCCGCCATCGCGAAGCCGATTCCAAATTCTGCTCGCGACACAGCCTGAAACGCTGCACAGGAAACCATTCCTTCACTTGGGCATGAAGAGCAGAAAATCCCTCGGACTAGAAGACGACAGTTCCACCTGTAAACTGACGGATGTAGTTCATCGAAAAACGAACGGAATATTGGATGAATTGTTATCCGCGTTCACACCTGCCGCTGGTGGATTTATCTGGGATCTAACAAGTTGAAGGGGGGGGGGGTGAGTTAGGGTATTGTTCCAAGGCCATCTCCTCAATATAATCTCTCCACACTATTATCTAGTCCTTTTAATATTGATGCCATAACAATGAACTCATTCACTCAAATTGTTACTTTCATTTTGCAATTGTTAATTTAAATGTGAAATTTGGATTTTTTTTCAATGTATTGAAAAATTTAACATGCTACTAATATAATATATATTTATACATCACAATTGTTTCATAAAAAATATAAATACAAATATAATTTTTCACAAGTATAGCTATTGACAAGGACTAACCAACTGGATTTTCAAGAAATTTTCTTACTTCAAACCCGTCAAACTATAAAAGATGATGTTTACCTCACCTTTATTATCTAGATTTCAAAACTCTCCAAAGGTTCATATATATATATATATATATATATTCTTATTATTATTATGCTTACTTCAATTTTTTTTTAATCAAAATTTTCTAAAAAGTAGTTTAGTCTATTTGCTTTGACCAATCTCTTTAAATCAATCTTCTGTGACAATCAAAGCTGGTAAACTGAGACAATTCATGTTCATACTCTAATGATACACTTAGATGCTTGTGGTGCATCACTTTTCAGGGTCACCCAAATTTTATTTTAAACACTTGGTCCAAAGGATCCCCAATTGTTGTCATTGTCATCTTATATTGTGGCTGTGGATTTTTTCCTCACATCTCTCTTGTTTCTATTTGCATACATGAATAACAATAAAATCAAAGAAATGGTGCCAGTTAGCCTGAGAGGTCAGAGTAATAACAAGGTCGGTAACATGATACATGAAGGTGTCAAAAGTCAGTTCTCCATTGTAATGTTCTAGAATGCTGTATGAATGTCCTTTTTCCTACAACTATTTGCTCTTGATATGAACACTAATTTCTGCTAAAACTAAGGATTTCTAACAACATCAAAAACTAAAATAAAACAAATAAAAAGGACATGAATTTAATAATAAATATATACCTAGCTCTATATTTTATTTTGTATCAAAAGAATTAGATAGAAGATGGATGTGATTCAATAAGTTAATTTCAAAATTATATTAATATGTTAAAATGGTGTACATATTTTATTAGTATATATAATAAAATTGTGAAAAAATACATTAAATTATGTTTAAAATGATGTGGCTTTTAGTTTTTAAATAGAAGTTTAGATTTTAAATAATAAAGAATTTTGTAGAAAATTTTAGAATGTTTTTAATTGTTGAAATAATTGATGATATATCAAAATAATTAAAAAGATGCTAATTAAGATATATTTTTTTATAAAATTAAATTTTATCATTTTTTATTTAAGTTATTAAGATGAATTTAGATTTTTAAAAATTAAAAATTAATTTTTAATTTTTCATTAAATTATTGGTCCAAATTTAGATTTATTTTTCTTATTAAGAATTCGATAAATAAATTTTAAACTTAATAAAACCATCCACCAATATATGACTATTTAAAATATTTCTTGCAATTTTTCAAAAGATTATTTGAATACAAATAAAAGTTCTTGATTTATCTAATTCTATTAGAAATCATGATTGATATATTAAATGTCTTATTTATTTTTATAAATTAAAATAAAATTAACTTATTTATTTTATACATACATTTTAGAATATATTTATTTTTCTATTTATTTATAACAGGTATTTTTTATAATAAAGTTCTTGTAATAATAATTATATATATATATATATATATATATATATATTAGGTTTAAATTAGAATGTATAAATTACCAAAAAGTAGTAGTAAAGTATAGAAAAATAAATTACTAATAATTCTTCATTTTTTTGTTCATAAAATTTATACAAAAAAACCTTATTATAGTGTTTGAGTTTAGGATTAATTAAACTTTAATAATAAAGACATATACGACAATATTACTGGGGATTATTATTCTACTAGTTTAAATATTTAATTTTATAACATAACATAAGTTCTATATGTATTAACCAATTTTCTACTAGTATCTAAGTCACTATCTAATAATCAATGTTTCTTAAAGTTTTTGAATTGTTTTAATAATTAGTCTTTTCAAAATTGCATAATGTTAATCTTATATTTACTAAAAATTCAGAAAATTAGATATATTTCTACATATTTTTATCAATCCACAAAATACTTATTTTACCTCCTCACAACAAAATAAAAATTAATTAATATCTTTTTTGATATTTTTTTGGCTAAATTTATGATTCTATTATAAAATATAGAGCACTAATTTATTCACTTTTTTTTATAAAAATACTTGATGAATTCTAATACAATTTTAAAAACTCAAAAAAATATTTTTAATCTCGTTAATAGGCGTGTAATTTACTAAACATGTATACACAAGTAATTCCTTTATATTATTAACAAAAATAACACTATAAATATATCTTTGATGATATAAAAAATGTCTTGGTTCTAAAACATATATCTTATAAGACTTCTTTTTAGAATAATATTAACTTTTTAAATGTAATATTTTCAAAGAGAAAAATCATAGGATCCATAATAAATTTAATAAAATGATAAAATAAGATAAATATAGAATTATATAGTATTATAAAAAAATACAAAAGATGATAGTTTATCAACTTTTTAAAAAACATTATAGACTATCTTTATATATATCTAGTGAAAAAAGTTAATCATTAAGTTTTTCTTATAGTAAGACAATTGTGTTAGATATTTTATGATAGAAATCATAATAGAACGGTCAAAAACTTGTAAAATTTAATTACTAAAAATAATTATAATTTATTAAATAAAAATAAAAATTTGTATATATTTCTTATATTTTTTGCTAATATTTTTCTTATCTATTAAAAATCTCTTTCTACAAAAATTGTGAAGTGAAAAAATAATTTATTTGTAATGAACACAAATAAATATTCTATTGAAAGCACACACATGCACATACATACAAAAAAAAGATAGATAGATATAAACTCAATTTCCATTTTGCTATAGATTTTTACATATACTTTATAACGAACATACAATGACAAACAAAACCGAGTACAAAATCTGAAGTGCCAACTTTCAAGAGCAATTACAGAAATTTCAATGATTGCTTTATAAATCTGAAAGTTACATGGAATAATACACACAATCTTGTACACATGTACAAAGTTGCACATCAAATTGATAACTAAACATTCTTCTACAAAGTCAAATCAACAACTATGTCTTGTACTCAGTATTGTTCAAAGAAAATCTTCAAACTTCAATATTTAGTCCAATAACTTTTTGCTTCCAAAACAGCTGAAATCCTTCTTGGCATACTTTTGTATAGTTTCTCACAATATTTTGCATCAAAACTAGGGTAAATACTACAAACATTCTCCCACAATTCTTGAACACCTCTTGACCTTGGAGTGACTTGGCTTAAACGCTGTTTGAGAAGGGCCCAAAAATGTTCCATTGGATTCAAATCTGGAGATTGAGCTGGCCATCGAAGGAGCTAAAATGGCTGTGAAGAGAGCCAAAACTGAACACTTTTTGCCGTATGTTTGGGATCATTATCATATTGAAAAACCACCTTAGTAGGATCTAAGTTGTAATTCTGTGTGGTACTTTGCAAGTAGGTTTCTAAAATTTTTTTGTACAAGTGTTGCTCCATTCTACCTTCAATTTGATACCAAGCACTCGGCCCAAAAGCAGTCATACAACCTCAAATCATAATTGAACCACCACCATGTTTGACAGTTTGACTAACATGTTTAGGTCCAAGTCGTTCTCCTTCTCTCAACCAACACCAAGACCTACCATCTGAGTTGATTAGGTTAATCTTTGTCTCATCACTGAAAATAACCCGTCTCCAATCATCAACGGTCCAATTTTTGTATTTATGAGCAAAACTCAACCTTGCAAGAACATGTCTTTTGGCAAGTAGAGGCTTCTTTTGTTGCACACAAACACCCAAACCAGCTTCTCTCAAACCACGCCTCAAGGTGATGTCTGAGAAGTGTTTACCTGTTTTTTCTCGAAGTTGTTTTGCAGCTGCACTTGCCGTTTTGAGACAACCAGCAGTGACAAGGTGCACACCAAGTCGCTTCTCTTGCTCTCCTAAAACCTTTGGACGTCCTCCTCTTTGCTTTTCTATTTCACCACTAATCTCCCTCCTCAGATGAGCTACTGAAGACTGACTCATTCCAAGTGAGTCTGCAACTTTTCTTGTAGAAACACCACTCCTAAGTTGCACCAATGCTTGGTGCTTCAATGATTCACACAACCGAGGCATAGAGATACAATTGACAAATCAACTTTCACTATAGATAGTACACAACAAGAGCAACACAACAAACAAAAAATGCCCTCAAATCTTGCAACAAGGAGTGTACATTGAAATTTCGAAATTCAGCAAGAAGAAGCAACCAAAACTGAGTACACACGTCTCTGTGCTTCTACAACACTTTTCTCATAAACCCTACCTCAAATGATAATGAGATTTTTCATCCATGTAGAGGACTGGATGAATACACACAATAAAAAAGTAATTCTATCAATTGACTTATGTGTCAGTTGAAAGGATCAATGAACTATGAGTGTTCACATTTTGTACTCGGTTTTGTTTGTCACTGTATATATATAGAGAGAGAAAAGCTAGATTACTACTTAAGTATTATATATATATATATATATATATACATACAGTATTGCTGAAGTACAAGACAAATTTTTTAATAAAAATCCTTTTATTGGCCATGAAGAAGGAAACATGGGGTACTTGGAGAACAAAAGAACATGTCTCTATACTTGGATCTTTCTACTTGGGTGTGTATATATAGACATAATGGATGTGCACAAGCCAACTTGGGGTGAACCTATATATATATATATATATATATATACACACATGGAAGACATACCATCATGAGTTGCAACTGGGGGGAGGGAGGCTTCTTTTGTGCACATGCACAACCAGTGAATGAGCCATCCATCCCCTTCTTCTGCCTTCTGCTGGAGTGCCTCATGAAGAGCTGCTGGTTGGTTGGGGCACTGACTGGGTCAGGAAGAGGAGGAGGACATGACAGGAGAGAGAGAGTGAGGGAGAGAGGGTTCATTCAGCCTTGAAAGTAAGTAAGTGAGTCCATCAGGCGAGGATTCTGTGGCACTGCGAGTCAAAGCCCACTTCACGAATGTGCTCCCCCCCCTACCCCCCCCCACTTTGCTCACGCTCTTTGCACACACACCCCTGCTGCAACATCATCATCATCTCTCCCTTCTCCTCTTGTCTCTCCCTTTCCCTCTGTCCTGCTCCAGCTCTCTGTTCCAATTCCTTCCCTCCTCTCGCTGCCGTGGCCACCGTTCCACTGCTTTTTGCACTTCTTCCTCATCTTCTTCTTCGTCTACTGGAGAATGTCATCAACAGTAGCGTTGCTGTGATGCGAAAAGACGAGCACTGAGTGGGATAAAGGAGTCCAACTTTTGGAATTACATCAGGTCGTTAGTCTCTCCAGTGCGCGGAGCCTTGATCCTGATCCACATGGGGAGCATGGGTTGGCTGCCGTGACGGTTGACGACGTAGTTCCTTGACGCTCTGCAGTGGAGTGGATCGTTCCACAATTTACTTGCTCGCCCGGCATGGCCTGACATAATGTCATGTCCAGTGGAGATTATTCTGTGGTCCTTTTCGAAGTGGTGGCATTCGAGGGGAAGCTGTGGCAATACGATTTCGTGACCACGGACAAGCATAAGAACTAAGAAAGGGGGAAAATTAAAAAGTTGCGGTGAAAGGGGCTGGATTGAATCCTGGTTCGTAACGTAGGACCTTGACCACCACCTTGGGTTATCTTCGTTACACAGTTGTGCAGTCATTTTTTACTGCTGATTAAAAATAAGTACATAAAAAAAACAAAACAAAACTAAAACTAAAATAAACAGATGATCGAAACGTGAAAGAGCACAGTTGAGGTCTCTTGCATGACAAAATTCTCGGGAAGTATTTGCTTAACAATGACCCTCAGCCTGTTGCCTTGCAGTTCTTGGATCGAAAAAACCAAAGCGGTGTTAATACGTCCCGGAAACTGAAAATGATGGAACCTCCAGAGCCTTACGACCACTCCAGAGCAGGAGACATTCTAGCCTTCTGTGGAAATAGTTCAAGGCCGAGGAATTGTGCTACCTTCAAGTTAGACAGATTACACAACTCGGTGCTGTGCACGCTCGTTCCTGGCCAAATAAGCATGTCCATATGCACTCTTAAGAAATGGCTTATGCTTCTTTGTCTCCTCCTTGGATCGACGTGGCCTCACATGTCAACAGCTCTTAAGGTAATCGATACATCCTGGGCAGGTGCCGGTAGGAGTTGCAACATGCGTTTCTGACAGCCGACGTCTCCGACGAGGTGATTATAGCATTCCGATTCAAGCTTTGTGGTCTTATTTAACTACGTTGCCAGACAAATTGAAAGTTTTGGTTACATCAACGCCCAGACTGGGATGACTGATTCATGAACTCACGTCGCTCAGAATTGCAGGCGTTAAACATTTCGCTTGGGTTGAATCAGGAGGAGTCCATTCTTCTTTCGTGGCGAAACAGCAGCAGCGCAAATCTGAGAGCACTGTGGCAAGAGAATCGAACGTCGGGTCCGTGTAGCTGGCACGGTGTGACCTGCGGGGAGTCATAAGGGTAGAATCGAGTCACGGGCATTAACGTCGCCTCTTTGAATCTGGCGGGAGCTATCCCTGCAGGGATCTGTAACCTGACGGCGCTCAATTCGCTCTCGTTCGCATCCAACAACCTCACTGAAAAGATACCGCCCGAAATCGGCAGTTGCGCTAATCTGCGGGAGCTCAACTTCACTGAAAATGTTATCACGGGACACATTCCAGTGGAGATCGGACGACTCACGTAGCTGCAGCGCTTGGATCTCTCCCGGAACAGCATCAATGGCACCATCCCACCAGGGCTGTTCGCTAATTGTGACAACCTCATCGCCTTCAACGTCTCTTCGAACAAACTCAACGAAACGCTTCCAGAGGAGATAGGAGCTTGCACAGGCTTGCGAATATTGGACGTAGGCTTCAATGAGCTCGCGGGCGAGATCCCTTCCTCATTAGGCCAGCTATCCCATCTCGAGGAGCTCATAATGGCGGTCAACGATGCCTTTAATGGGACAAATCCTGACACGATTCTCTCGAACTGTCAATACCTGAGAAAGCTGGATATAGCGTGGAACCAGTTCTCAGGACTACTTCCTCCGAAGCTCGGCAATTGCACCCACTTGGAGATGTTGGTCATGCAGGGGAATCTTTTCAGTGGATCGATTCCAGGAGAATTAGGAAAACTCAAAAAGCTGAAAGTACTCAGAGTAGGAGAGTTGCCGCAAAACATCAGCCAGTGCAGCTCCTTGGAGATTCTGGACATCGGCGACAACTTTACGGGTGCGATCCCGCCGTGGTTAGGTCATCTTGCCAACCTCCAGTCTGTAACATTTCAAATCAACAAATTCCCCGGCACAATTCCCGCGGAGGTGACGACTCTGCCGATGCTGCGGTACATTGATTTCAGCAACAATTCCATCCAAGGTAGTGTGTTGAAGGAGTTTGCCCGCGTGTCTAGCTTGCGGCTCCTGCGCCTCTCGAACAACAATATGACGGGAAGTATTCCGGAAGTACTTGGATACATGTACAAGCTGCAGGGCCTGGATATATCATCGAATTTCCTCAATGGGTCCATCCCGAAGAGCTTCGGCAACCTACAGGACCTCCTGTGGTTGCATCTGGGGTACAACAAGTTGACTGGAATACTCCCGCAAGAGCTTACCAACTGCTCAAGCTTGACGTGGCTCAACTTGGCGCACAATCAGATGCGAGGGCAAATTCCTTACAGTTTTAGCAACTTAGGATGGGACTCAGAGCGGGTGTTTCGCCAAAACCAGAAGAATCCTTGGATTGCAGACGGAGTGGGAGGGTGCTCTATGCTGGCGACATGGGCGCCAACGCAATCCAAGCACTTCAAAACGTTGCTTGACGTCAAGGACTTACAGAAGTGCCACGTTTGGTTGCCGCTTCTCGTCAGCGGCGGCTTGCAGCTCCGCAGTAACAAGTCCACGGGCGAGAACAAGGTGCTCAGCTACTGGCAGCTGAAGAGTAACAATCTCATCGGCGTAATCCCGGACCTCAAAAACGCTTTATCTCTAGGGTTTCTTATCCTCTCCAAGAATGGCCTGAAGGGACCGATTCCCTTAGAAATCGGCAACCTCCCGCTCTACTACCTCGATGTGTCAACGAATAACTTGAATGGGACCATTCCGAACACGTTAGGCAACGCATCGTTGCAGGTTACTTTACACGTGGCCTACACTGTTCTCTCCGGCACGCTGCCAGCGGAGCTCGGTAATCTGAACGCCCTAACGGTGTTGAACGACTCCTACAACCCGAAATTGAGCGGGATAATTCCGAGCAAGGGCCAGTTCACAACCTTCGAGTTGGATTTCTACATTGGCGACTACAATCTCTGCTTGAACGACACCGATCCCATGTACACCAAAGCTTTGATCAATTTGAGCACCTCGTCCACAAATGTACCGAAATTGTGCAGTCAAGTGTCCAATGTAGTTTCAACTAAAACAAAAAAGCGTTCCAGGAGGAAGAAGAAAATCATCAAGGTGCTTGAAACCACCCTCATGAGCAGTTTGAGCACATTGTCAGCTCTTCTTTTTTTGAACTCTGTTTACTGCATGGTGCCGAAATGGCGGAAGAGGAAGGCTATGGCGAAGAAGGGCCTAAATCTCTGGGACAAAAGCTCAGAGAAATCGCACTGGTCTTCAACAGAAGTGGATGGCAGCTTGCAATCCTCAGTTGCGTCATTCTCGCCCTTCTCCAACCTGAAATCTTTGACATATTCACACCTGGTGCAAGCCACGAAGAATTTCAGTCAAGACAACATTATTGGGGACGGGGGATGTGGAATTGTATACAAGGCGAAGTTGGGAGACAGCACTACCGTGGCGATCAAGAAGATGAAGCAAAACGGCCCGCAAGGTCCTCGCGAATTTCGAGCCGAGATGGACACTCTCGGCATAATACGACATGAAAATCTCGTCTCTTTACTTGGGTACTGCTGCAACAACGAGGAGATGTTGCTATTTTGCGAGTATCTAGTGAAGGGGAGTTTGGACGACTGGCTGTACGAGAGTGACGCGAAAGCTGCACAGCTCGACTGGCCGCTACGTTTCCGCATCTCGCTCGAAACGGCAAGAGGGCTCGCGTTTCTTCACCGCGAGTGTGTACGCCACGTAAATCATAGGGGCATGAAGTCCAGCAACATCCTTCTCAATGAGAATTTTAAGGCGGTCCTGACTGATTTCGGCATGGCCCGCACCATGGGCATCGACTGGACTCATGTGAGCACCACAGTGGTCGGCACGCCCGGGTACATTCCGCCCGAGTGCTCCCAGACATGGCGCGCCATTACCATGGGTGATGTGTACAGCCTCGGCGTCGTCATGCTGGAGCTTGTCCGGGAAGCGACCTACAGGGCCTCATTTCAACGGGCGGTGCGGCACGAATCTTGTCGAAAAGGCGAGGATTCTCGTCTCCCGCGGAAGGCCTGAGGATATCTGCGATGCAAATGTACTTAAATCAATTGCACCCCAGGAAATCTCACAGTTTCTGGATATTGTCATTCAATGTACCGACATCACTTCAACGTCTAGACCCAGGATGTCGGAGGTTGTGCAGATGCTTGGAACAATTTGTAGAGATCAAGCATCCCAATCCTCACAACACGGTATCTTGATGGAGTTACCGCCCTAGTGACAATCATTTGGTGGGTGGGCGCTGATTGAGGAAAGCGTGTTTCTCGGAACGGTTCCACGGAATGTGGATTGAATTGGATCACATCCCATAAGATTAGAGGGTCTGTTTCATTGTGATCCTGCGACAAGCTTCAAGTTCAGCATTCAAATTTTTTGTAGAACTAGGGCGGTAACTCACCACAAGTTTGTAGAACGATTTTCGTACTAACTGCATCGCAAATGTGGTTCAATTGTATATGACGTATAATGTTCATAATGTCTGATTCGGAACTATTGCGGAGGTGCGGTGGGACATTGAGTCAATAGTTACATGAATGTATTACACACTCATAAACGACTTCTGTAACTTTAATTGCACAGTTGTACGCAGTCAATAAATAATGATTGAGGTATACAAGTCACTTCGTGCAAAAGAATTCTCAATACGGTTGCAAGGAGATAAATGGGAATTGACTTACAAAAGTAGGATAAAATTTCACTAGCGGCTCACGGGCTGAACTATGACTCCCATTTTAGCATATCAAGTTCGATCTGGCAGTTTTTCACACTGGTCTCTAGGGAACGCAGTAAGTTAAGGACCAAGAGTCACTGCCAAGAAGTACTACTAGCTCTTGTGCATTTCTCGTACAATAGACTTCAATACACTATCTGACAGTGGCTTGTGAAACCTGTTCATCAATACAGGTTCACGAACCACTAGAATTCAGAGAATCTTCAAAAATGCGAGAAAACCCTTAGTATCGTGATTTGCAAGGCTAGTTATTCTCTCAGCTAACGATCCTTTAACGAAATAAGTGATAAATCTTCCACCCGGTTACACGGCGCACTCCCGAAATACATCAGTGCACAACTGCTGGGTATAAGATACATCAGTGACCATTCACAGAAAGTGCACAACTTCACACCTGTTGGTAACATTCCACGTCTTCTTTTGGGAATAACACCCTAGCGCAAGAAAAGAACGTAATAGTTCATATTTATTTCCTTCCACTGGCGGCAACCCGTGCTTTTGCTTTAACTTCAGAGTCCTGCTAGCAAAAATTAACATGTTAGCAACTTGGAACGCTTTAAACAAATTATTGAAACAAGAAGTGATGACAAGTATTCGTAGTAAATGTTGGAAGATAATTATTTCCTGACTCTGATCCAAACACCCGTAATTACCTGCGTGGGATGGAGAAGGATGTAGTTGCGAGCTTGTGATGGGTTATGATTCTCAGCACCCTTGCTCCAGTCATAGCTCACCTGTTGAAAACAAACTTATTAACATGCAAGGATACAAAATAATCCCCAGATGTAAGCATTGCTTTAAGCTGGAAGTAGAAGCTGTCTCAAGCAAATTAATTGATATCCGCAAAAACAATTACGACACAATACAAGTATTTTTCGCTCAAGGCGCACGCAGAAATATTACCCCGTAAGCGAATATGGTTCCATCGTGGTTGAATGTGCTGCAAGGGATCGGTTGATTGCAGCGCTGCATTGCCTGCTCAGCTCTTTCAAAAACATCAGTATAAAAACTAGAGCTGATGTTTTCAATATATATACTGAAGAAGAGCCAATAAACAAGATAATAGAAGGCATTCACAAACCCTTCCAAAAACCAGTGCTCTTCACAGACGCGTGATTACCTTAAGTCTTTGTTTGCTGTCCTTGTCCCAAAAATTAAATGCTCCATCAGACCCAGAGGTGGCAAACGTTCCATGTACCTGCGAGTTCCCAGACATTGCATCAGCCAGGAAAAGATCCTCAGTACTTCGGCATAGCGTGTAAAAAGAGATGGAAGAATGCAGAATGTCCAGGTGAGACCATTTCTGAACTTGGAAATGAAAGAGAACTAAAGCCTGCATCATACAGGATGGAAGTCGATAGAATTGACTGCATATATATCGTTGTTATCTCTATGGCATTTAAAAGTGAAGTTCTTTGATTGCTGAGCATCATCAATGTGCTGAACGGCCACTCTTCCCTCGATTGACCCAACCTACAATATCCACACCAATGTCGACAATCAGAGCATGTTCACAATACAAAAGGTACATTTCACACTGTTACATCCACTTCGAAACAACGATCTTGACAACAAATTGTTGAGATTTCTCCGTTACTAAGAATCGACTCACAAGGAAGCCCTCCTTGCCCGGGAAGGTTGCCACACATCGTGTTTGATACTTTAATGGCGACTGTATCCGCTTAAATTCTGTCTGCATTAACACAGAAACACATAAGGATGCTACAAAAGTGGCCAAAAAGATCAAAAGAATCACGACAATGTCAACGAACTTAAAGTACACACTGCCTGGAGTAGGTCTATTCAACAAGCCCATTAGGTCAATAAAAATGGATACAAAACAAATTCGAAAAACCCACTGGCCCTTCGTATCGACAAAGAACTTACTGAAAAATCCGAAGTTACTTATCACTCTATTTCTTGAACAGGTATCTTGCTAAATATATGTGATCAAATTTAGCTAATCCTGAAGTACTTACTTGTGGGCTTGCAAGATTGTAGACAACTATGTTTCTATCCGCAGTTGCTACCACCATGAGCGGATGCCGGACACTCATAGCATAACATCGCTCAGGAAGTTGTTGAGTATGGGCTGGAGTTTGTGCCCGTAAATCCCAATATCTGAACAGATCATCCAAATCTTCCTAACTCAAAATGCAGCGCGCCAGCTAAAATACACGATTAAACCCAAATTCGCACTTCTCCAAATAATATGCTGAGCTAGTTGATCCCAAGCTGTCTATAAATTCAAAAACAAAGATTGGGAGGTCTTCTTTAGATGCAGCCGGGTAGCAAGGATAGATATTACACGAAGATAGGAAAGCTGTGTACTAGATTTTTAAAATTAAAAAATTAAAAAACACGTTAAAAACTTGAAAACACTCAAGAGCATAGCTCCGACAACCCAGAAGTTCAAAGAAACCTAGCTTCTATCACTTTTCACAAGCTTCTATCACTTTTCACAAGCTTCCTCAGTACATATAACTCATGAAGTGCTTTGTAGAAAGTACGTACTTCAGAGTTTTGTCCCAGCTTCCAGTAACAAGGAGATTCATCTCAGAGATCCACGAAATGCTTTTAATAGGTGCATCATGCATGCCTACGGTAACTGCCTGGCCACCAGATAGTATGGGCCACATTTTTGCTTGCTTGTCACAACCTCCTGAGAACACTGTACTTCCATCCTCCTTCCAGGCAGAGCATAAGACCTACAAAGTGCATGCATTATCATCAACAACCAACAGCCAGATGATTCATCATTATAAATGATCGAGAGCTGATTTTGAACTAACTACGAGAAGATATTTTACACAAGCAGGATTGTGTAATTGTTGAATGTGTAAAATATCCTGGATTACACATCCAGGATATTTTACACATCCAATATTTGTACTTGTTGCTTGCGCATTAATATTTTTTGATAATTGGAAAAGATATTTTACACAATCCTGGACAGAGCATAGTAAAATGTTTAAAAGTTTGCTACACTTACAGGCGATTCATGTGAAATAGCTGCTTTAGGAACACTGCTGCCATTTGACTGAATCTCCCAGCACCTCACCTAATCGCAATCACAAGGATTTAGAATAAGCATACATTAAATAAAATAAATAAACACATGAAAAATAGACTTGAGTACACATATCCTGTTGGTTACATTTCAGCCCTATACAGGAGTCACTAGTATTCAATGCATTTCGACTCCAGCGTTGGGATCACTTTCAATGCCAAGAATACAGCCAATTTCAATTCGTGAGAGTAAGACGACAGAATTGACTCGGCGGCAGAGGAAAGGAACCAGCAGTAGGAACGACGGTAAGGGAGACTAATAAACAATGCAATAAAAGAATTTAAAAAAATAATGAAAGCATCGAACGGTTAGAAAGGATGACGCATCACCTGATTATCCCATGAGGTGGCAACCAGATAGTTCGCCTTTGGACTGAAGGCAAGACTCGAAATACCATCAGTTGGAGGTTGATTGACCTGTAAATCAGTCAATTTTGAGGGCTTCTGAGACATTTAAGGGGTGCAACGCAAAACGTCGCTAAGGGCGAAAGAGTTAAATACTACTCTTAACGTACAAAGAGCTCCTGATTGCTTGAACGCAAGAGCATATCATCCATCGCCTTCAGATAAGGCCGAGCATTGGCTTCACAATAAACTTATACTCTTCTCTATTCCCCTAAATTTGATGATGCTCAATTCCGGAAGCATTTGTAAATACACAGCTCCAGATACCCAAAACCCCGTTAGCTTTAGCGTAAATTAAGCTTTCAAACACAAAGCTCTGACGAAGGGTTGTACGCCAACTTCAGACTAAGCCCCACCAACGTGTTGCTGATTGCATAGGTTACATTACTAATTTAAACCAGCCTACCAACACTTCGTAATCTACACGCAGTAAACAAAACTCTCCGTAAACCTAACCACACCAACTGCCAACCCTAATTACAAAGACCCTAACCCCCATATTACAACATATTCGATTCATCAAAAACATTCCCGCATAACAACACCACGCACCTCACAAATCCAATCTCCACCACCTATCTCAACCCACAGCTACAAAACAGCAAGGAATCGAAACCCCTCATCGTGAACACATCCATCAATCAATCTAAAACTAGAAAAAAAATTATTTAAAACGATCGGTAACAGCAAAATGCAGCAGCAAAGGTTGTTGCAGAGCAGAAAAAGAGCTCGACCTCAAATGATTTGTTCGGATTGTGCGGTTGCGTCGAAGATAGGGTACCGAAACTGGCCATTGCGAAAAACAAAATTTGCGAATGAACTTGAGCAATGCAACAGGCCGTCAGAGAGGAGACGGCTTTGTAACTGATGAAGGGGAGCCTAACTCCGTGGCCGCTCTCTCTCTGGAGGGTTTGAACGTTTCCTACGCGGCTCTCCCGCGTCGCAACTCCGCAATGAACCTCGATCGGAAACAGAAGAACTTCGTCGTCTTGCTCTGACGGACGGGATCTTCGTGCGATGCGGACATGATGACATTCACTCGTGGGCCTTGGGATGCGACGTCTGAAGGCTGCAGAGCTGGAAACAGCGACGTCATTACATGCAGCGACGCCAATCGCCGATGCGATGGACCCATCACCACATCGATCCTACCCATTTCAATTCGTATCCTTCTCCATAAAACCCACAAAATTGAAGTCGAAATTATTGCATTCTTGTCCACTTTAGACGTCTAGTCGGATCATGCTTCGGCAAACGCTGCTGCGAGGGTAATGCCAAGCGAGTCCAGCAATTCCATTGTCCTGTGCTATTGTGACATGGCACGAGTGATGGATTTAACAGAGGCGGTTGTTATAAGGATATATTTTAATGAATGGAAGTTTATAAATCATATGATATTCAAATAAATAAAGAGATGCTACTACAGATAGGATTCAGTCATATTAAAAAAGACTACAACTATGAGCAGAACTGGCAGTTAACTGTTTTGTGATGTCACCATAAATGTTACAATGATTTTTGAACTCATTTTTTTAATTTTATTTTAGGACAAAAAGAATTTTTGTTGTTGCTTCTAACTTTACTTTATAGTATTTCCTTAACATATGAATTCAAATAAGACAATGAGTTATTTTTAAATTTTTAAACATTTAAAGTCTTTGTTAACTATATTCTTTGTTTATTTAAAGCTCAACAATTTTACATAATACTTTATTACAAATGATTTTTATTTAGAGAAATGATAAAGTGATCCAAATGTTTACTAAATCGACCCATCTATTTGGAACATGATTGCACCTTCTTATCTTGCATCTTTGTTCCTTTAGTTCTTTACATTTCCATCCCCACAATCCCAACCTCCTCAACTCCAACCTCCCCAACCCCATCTCCATTCCCAACCTCTCCAACTCTATTTCTTGTTTTGATTTCTTTCCTCCATTGTCAATTGTTCTATTCACGTAGAAATTTGTGTGCACAATTCTCTTATTGTCTATCTCGTTTGTGTGATTGTGCCTTTTGAGGAAATGTAAAAGTAGTAAGCAAGCCGCTAGTATCTCCTCTGTGCACTTGATATGAGAGTTGAATTTCTTCCAAATTCCAATACATCCTCAATCTCACCAATACATGTGTGGCATGACCAATGAAATGAACCATCACATTATGCTGCAATTGTTTTAAAATCAATTCCCTAATCTTACTTATGACTTCAAAAGATGCAAGCGTAATGAACCTTCTTCCACAAATTGGGTCACAATCTTATAGACACTCTTTCTTCTACAAATCCACAAAGAAAACCTCTAACAAATTAGAAAGATCGTAGCTGTCTTTCCACAACATGAAATAGCATATGTGTGCTTGAAATTTTGTATAACAAAGAATTGAGAGGAAGAGGTGTTTACGAGGCAATTATGAAGATGCAAGTCACGATATCAAGATGATGGTTGATGGATCAATTTGTAGTGAGATAATACCAGCATTTGGATCTTACATACAAAGGATGTCTACACCCATTTTGTGGGCATCTTTGTTGCAGATAGGTTGGTGACCAATCTTCATGTTCTCTTTAGAGACATTACTCTTACAATTTTTATTTTTATTTTTATTTTATTTTTTTCTTCTCTCTCTATTCTTGTTGTCCTTCTATATCTTAATGTGAATCTAGGTTTGCAATGGTTTTGAACATATGTCCCACATAACTATAAGTAACTTGAAGGTCTTCACTTCATGATTTTAGAGTTGTTTGTTTAGAGTGTACTTGAAGAGATTTTTGTTTGGAGAAGACATGATCAACTTTAAGCTTTTAAGTTTCATGGCACTTTCATAAAAAACCACAATACCTAACTTATCATGGATTATGTTCCAGTTGTTAGTTTTGAAGCTCTTTGAGAGGCCATTTTTATTTTGTTTGTTGCAATTCTTATTTCTTCAATTTAAGAAGCTCACATTGAAATGCCAATTATGTAGAATCATCTTATAATAGCTCTTGTGCTGATATCCTCCATTAAAAATACCGGATATAAGTTCCATGATAAACATTGATAGTTTTTTTTGGGCCACTCTTAAAGTCTTATCCCTATTATTACGGAAATATATATATATATATATATATATATATATATATTATAATTGTTACTAAGATAATATGAATATATATAATTATATAAAAGTATATTAATTTCATAATACATTCTAGATAAGCTTCTTAGAAGCTTTCTAGACATTGTTTTGACTTTACATATGTTTGTAGTTGATTGATAGGTTAGAAACTTGATCAACAAGCTATTCATATGCCACATGTATTGATAGCTTATAGAATAAGCTAGCTATGTAGCGTCCATATAGAAAACTTGCCTTGCAAGTCAAGATATGTGTCATACAAAGTCAACATATTTTTGGAGGTCCTATAGAATGTCGCTACATAGATTGTAAGTTGATAGTATATATAGAAGCAAGAGTGAAGCCTTCTTCACTCTTGTCAATTCTTTTCTTGCTTTTAGTCTAGATTCAAGAGTCTCTAGTTTCCTTATCTTTTGGCAATAGTCATTCCACTTTTCTTTTTAATATACATATTTCTCGATTTCTATTTCTTTGATAGGGTCTCATTTGCTTATTTCCTTTCATCAAGTTCTTATTCTTGACAAATTGATAAGAGTGCACTTAGAATATTAGAACTTTTTCTTTCTTCATTAAAAGTGGATTACTCTTCTTTTAAACTAATATTGTTCTTAGTTTTTTTTTTTTGTTGTTAAGTTCCCTCTTTTGCTTGTCTTGAGTGATATTAGACATTTTTTTTCTAAGTATTATTATGACACAACTTCTTGAAATGAAAAGTACAATGGCAAAAATATAAGAAAAATTGAAAGAATTGATGCTTGTAATATATCAACTTAGTTTATCACCACCAAGAGCAACAAAATGGTAGGAAGTGAAGATATAGACATGATTGAAGCTGCTTCAACATCTTCACCAAATCACATCCCTTCTCCTATAGTATAATATCTTTCTAGTATTAGACTATCCAAAATTACCTTATCCAAGAAGTTTGATGGCACAAGATCCAACTTTTGAGGATTTATTAATCAAATACAATTTGTGATTAAATTTCAATCCCAAAGCTATCTAATGCCAATATCATAAGTTAGATTCATTGATACATTTCTTTCAAGTTTGACATTATGATATCTTTTATCTTTTTTTAAATAACAAGATTCAATATTGAATAAATTAAAGGCTTTTTTGATGGAGTTTCAATCTATACATGATAAATATAATACAATTCATGTTATAATCAATAAGATTTATATTATACAACAAGACAATCAATAAGTGATATCATATAATTTATAATTTTGATAATTAGCCACTCATATCAAGTGGCATAATGCTACCCTTATCAGCCAATTTTTCTACTCATTACAATATGGCGTAAAGAAATTGATGCTTAACTTACTTGATCTTTAGACATTGAATCAAGCAATTGACTTTGCTATGATATGTGAGAATTAGCTTTTTGAGTTTCAATCTCAAAATTTTACAAGAGAACCTCTATGTTATTACAATTAAATGACAATATCAACAACCTTTCAATTTAAACATTTGAAAGTAGATAACATTCAAATTGTTGCAATATATTTTAAACCTCTTACTGAATAAGAAAAGATTTGTTGTTGTCAAGAAGGTGTCAAGGATAAGAACATGATAAAAATAAATAATCAAGTGAGACTTCTCTCAAAGAAATGTGACAAAATAGAAATAACTTGATATATATATTAAGAAAGAAATTGGAATGGCTATTGCCAAAAGCCAAGAAAACTAGAGACCCTTGAAACTAGACTGGAAGCAAGAAAGGAATTGACAAGAGTGAAGAAGCTTCACTCTTGTCTCTATATATACTATCTATTTCTTGCTTCCAACTAGACTGGAAGCAAGAATTGATAAGAGTGAAGAAGCTTTACTCTTGTCTCTATATATACTATCTAACTAGGGGCTACATGGCAATGTTCTATAGGACCTCCAATATGTGTTGACTTTGTAGGACACATGCTTTGATTTATAAGGCAAGTTTTTCTACATGTCGGCTATATAGTTAGCTTGGTCTTCAAGCTAACAACATGTGTGGCACATAGCAAACTTGTTGACTATGTTTCTAATCCAAAAAGTCAATTAAAGACACGTATAAAGTCAAAGCAGCATCTATAAGGCTTACAGGAAGCTTCCATAGTAAATATTGTAGAATTAACTTACTTCTACCTATTTATATATGTAATTACTAGCTTACATGTGTATGTCTATGACAGAAGTACTCTATTTATATTATAGAAAAGTTAAGCATATTACTTGAAATAGGACCAATCTATCTTAAGTGTCCAAGTCCCTTCTAATCCATGGCAATATAAAATCTCATCACAAAGTAGGAAAAACTTGACTAGAACAAAACTGAACAAAACTAAATAGAATGGGACACAGAAGACAAAACTGAGCAACTAAAATTTAGACAGAATAAAACAAAACAAGAAGATACAAATCAATTTATATTAAGAAAAAGAGTCTAAAGTCATACTTGACTAGATATCTTAAAAGACCTTTGCTAGTCCTAATGATGATGTCATGATTTTATATTTTTCAAATACAAATCTTGTAACAAGGGTAATTGGTGAATCCAAACAACCACTAGCTTCCCTAACAGATAGTATTGCCACAACTTTGTAGCGTGTATAATTGCTAATTGCTTTCAATCATATATAGAATAACTGCACTCTATTCTTTTGAGCTTCCATAATTTATATGCCACAGGTTGAAGGATCCTATCAAAGTCTTGTTGAAAGACTGATCTAATAGTAAAGTCAGAAGCATGAATGTCAAGTATACAAGAAAGATTAAGATCATATGATTGCAATGTAGGAGCAGTAATGTAGTTTTCATTCAAATGAGGCACTTTTCTTCAATAGATTTGTCAATGAAATAATAATATAAGCAAATTACCAAATAAAATGGCGATAATATCTCAAGGCTTTAAAATAAGTGGACTTTAGAAGCATCC